CCGTCGGCCCGCCTGCAGACGCCCCCGTTTCAGCAGCTGCTCACACTGACCAGCAGCGGCTGAATCTGGGACTCCTGGGGCAGAGCCAGACTATCGGAAGGGGGGGCTATGAGGGGTCTGGGGTGCCATCCACCCCCACTCCAGACCCCTCATAGCTCCCCCTTCTGATAGTCCGGCATATCTGATAATCCGCCACACCCTGGGTCCCAAAGGTGCCGGATTATCGGAAGTTTACTGTACTACCAAGACATTCAAATTGAAAGCACAAAATAGAAAAATAAAATTCTTAGCTCTTTTATGATAACTGAAAAGCTAATTGTCACGATCAACACAAAATCTGAGTGGTTGAACTGTACTCAAAGTAAACATTTTCGTGCATTATTTTGACTAGACAAAATATTTTACACAAGTCATTAGCAACAAATTAGGGCAGAAAGGGAGTTTTAAGGTGACATTTACAGAAGTTAGTGGTAGTAAAGGTGGGAGAGAATGAAAGTTTGAAAGAGAAAAATTATCGCAAATAAGAACAAGATTGCAGAATATTTGGGAAAGGATGGAGAAAGCCAATCAGAGAGTGCACACAGAACTATAAATGGGAAAACCAGGAGTGCTACTTTGAATGGAATTTGGAGATGAAGATGAATCAAGTAGATCAAGGAAACAGGGACACAACATGATGCTGACTTCTCGGAATTGGAAAGTAGAGTGCATTTGGGGATGTAAAATCCTGATTCATCAGTTAACCGGTTAAATGTCAGGTTAACTGGTTAAACTTTAGATTAACTGACTAAGATGGATCCCAGCCCCACGGGAGCAGCCTCCAGCCCCATGGGCGGGGTGGGCTGCTGGAGTAGTCCCTGTCAGTGCTGCTGGGCTGAAGCAGCCCCCTCTTACTGCTACCTCCAGTTAATCAGTTAACTAGTTAAACATTATGTTTAACTGATTAACTAATTAAATGGGATTTTACATAGCAAAGTTGGGCACTATGATATGGCAATTGCTAGACACAGACAAGAGAGATGAGGGAGAGAAAAAGTTTGTCATAAATGACATGACAGTTTTAGACTCTGGAAGCAAAGTTAGAAGGATGTATTATGGGCCACAGAGAATTGTTTAACTGTCAAGAGAATCAGTCACTGAAACAGTCAGAATTAGAAGTTATGACATAACAAAGCACTCTGAAGGTGTTTGGAGGGGGATGCAGAGCTACATGTCATCTGCACACATGGGGTAAATACTGAAATGCATTCATCGTGAAATATGTGTCAAATCTATTCATGCACATCACCTCTTCACATCAGGTATATGAAAGGAATGAAAAAGTGTTAGCAAGGTTTTGGGTTCCTACATTCATTATGTAATGAATGCAAGGGAGACAATGCCACTATCAGCAGCAAGAGGCAGCTTTACAAAGCAAAAAAATGTATTTTTCTGGGAGAAGATGGGCATTGTAAAATTAGCATAAAGAAGAAAAAAGTCTTTAGTTTGCCAAGCAGTTACTTTGAACTATTCAGGTTGTCCCTGAAAGGCAACACTTCAAATAAAGCTGCAGACAGAATGACAACTACTGAAGTTAAAACAGAGAAAAAAAAAACACACCCATTCATTGGGCCCGAGCCTAAGAGAACACTGGTATCACAACATTGTTTTTTTGCAGAATATGTTCCGATTTACAGAGACATAAATCAGAGGGGAAAAAATAGGTCCAGTAGGTTAGAGGACTACATAAATACTAACTGCTCAGATCTCATAATTTTAGAAGACATTTTAAATTACTTTGTGGATAATTAGAGCCCCACAATGTAGATATATTCTTAATGTTTAAGGCCTTTCAGAAGTGCTGTTGGGGCATGTGAAAGCAGCATCCCCTATTAAGCTTATAGATTTTAAATAAAATAATGCGGACTGAAAAAAAATGGAAACTCCTAGGGAGGGATGGGATGCTGGCAGCACAGACAACGAGCCAGTTGAGGATATAAAAGATAGTAGAGAGGCACAAGGAAAGTGAAAATGCGGGGGAGGGGGCGGGAGCACACTGGGGGGTAGGCAGTGAAAGCGAGTGGATGCAGCTGGGGGTTATAACGGGCAAAGGGGCAAAAAACGGGGGTGGGCACAACAGGCAGCTAGAAATGGCAGGGGTAAGGCTGGGGGCGGTAGCTGGGAGGGGCTACAGCAGGTGGGGGGGCTGGGGGTAGTAGCTACAGGGAGGTGGCTGGGGGCTGTAGCAGGTGGGGGAGAGGCAGCGAGCTGGAGCAATTAGGGCGAGGCTGGGGGGTGTAGCTGTAGCAGGCGGGGGTTCGGCTGTTGGCCTACAGCAGCGGGGCAGACTAGGGGGATATTGCTGGGGGACCCCGTCGGGACCTTCCCACCCAAGCTACGGGGCAGGAGGAACAGGCCTCAGCGTTACCGACTCACCCAGAGGCCGGCGGGAAGCGCCTAGCAGGCCCCTCGCGCGCTCTGGACGCTCAGGGGCTCGCGCTCAGGAATAAGGAAACGCTGTGCGGCCCGGTCCGGCCCGGCTAGACGGAAAAACGGACCGAATTGTCCCCATCGAGGCACCGTACCCGCCGCTGAGCCGAGACTTGTAACGTCACGTGACCTAAGAAGGGCGGAAGTGACTCTCTATGACGCTTCACCTGGGAGAGGGCCATGTGGAGGCCATCTTTACTGTGGTCAGCCCAGCCGTGAGCGCTAAGCAGCGGTGTTTTTGTGATGCTACTGTAATAATCGGGGCCGCAAGCTCATAGCTACATACACTGTGTCCTGTGCAGTGTTCGGTGACAATGCTGAGTGAATGCCCTTAATGTGCAGCATGCATAGCTCATATTTACCTATTAACCAGCCGCGTGCACACACATTTGTACTAGAACATTAATTCCATCAGGCCAATGGTCCTCAGCACTGCAGCAGCATGGCCTAATGGGAAGAGTACTAGCCAAGGCTGCGGGACTCTAGGCGTCTAGTCCTAGCTTTGCCTGAGCTGCTGTTAGGGTTGCCATATGATTTCAACAAAAATACCTGAAACACCTGACATTATATTACATCTTATTTAGAAAATACGGACATTTATATTTTCTCAATTTGTTTCCCAAACAGAAAGCTCAAATACTGGATTGTCCAGTTCAAAACTGGACATCTGGCAACCCTAGATGCTTTGTGGTTTTACTAACCACTGCACCTTTGCCCTGCTTGTTTCTTTTCATAATCCTGTATTTGTCCTGTCTCCAGATTCAGAACTTTCTAGGTCAGTGTTTCTCAAACTGTGCTCTGCAGCACATGGGTGTGCCCCTGAAAAAAACAGGTTCAAAATGGCTGCCCTTAAAGGGGCAGGTGACTTTTTTTTTCTCTCAATAACTTACCCCCGAACTCTTTTTTTTTTTTTTGTGCTCAACAAAAAATCTTTGGTGTTCCTCATAAAAAAAAAAAAGTATTGTTTGGTGTTCCTTGGTCTTAACAAAGAAATACTGCTCTAGGTCTCTTCCTCAGTGTTAGTAGAGACTTAGCACAGAGGCCCTGATACGGTTGCCACCATACAAATACCTTTCAAAATATCCACATAGTATTTATCAATAATATAATAAAATTACTAACAGAATATATTAAGATACTAGTTAATATTACTACTGCTAACAGAACAGTAATTCAGTACTAAGGTTATTCACATGGGTCTTGATTTTGCAGTGCAAAATGAATGGGACAACACAGGTGCAGGGGTCCTACTAGCTTGCACTGCACAACCATAGCCAAAGTAATGGTCCTAGCTGATGTCTGCCCACTCTTTAGCCAGATTTAGCTACCAACTTTGGCAGCATATTCACATACTTTTGCCAATTTTCTTAGTTAAAATGATTTAAAAAAAGTACAACCTCAGATGACTTAATTTCTCCCTATTGCAGAACACATACCCCCTTATATACTGTTAAAAAGCTGAAACACAGGCCACTGAACCTTAAAATCACATAATTTTTACTATCTTCTTGGTTGTCTTCCGACTTTCATTTCTAACTTGATTTTAGCAGCTGCTATCTTGTGATATGCAACAACTAGAAATCAACTGTAAATATCAAATAATATATTACCCTAAGGCTGAATTCCACTGCCAATGCAATACTCCCAGTGAGTTCCGTGGGAGCTGAACTGGACCCTTAATCTTTAAGTCTAGCATCACGAGAATATTACATGTGGATGCCCAGACCCACAAAGGCATTTAGATTCCTAACTTCCATTGAAAGTTAGGAGCCTAAATGCCTTTGTGGATCTGGGCCTGAAAGACTGTTGCAAAGGGCACTTTTACAGTAGTTTTTGGCTTTCTGGAACAATAAACGTTTCCAAATACTGGATTATCAACAAGGAGTTCTCTGGCACCTTAGAGATGAACAGATTTATGAGGTCATAGCTTTCATGGGTAACACCCACTTTATCAGATAATTCAACTCATCAGATGAAATGGGTTTTATCCATGAAAGCTCATGACTTAATAATCTGTTAGTCTCGAAAGGTACATCTACACAGCCAGTGTTATTTCTGAAGAACTAACATTATTCTGAAATAACATAGTCTGTGTCTACACTACAAGCAGTTATTTTGATAATGTCAAAACATGGCGAGCTGGAGGACTTCTCACACCAAGTCCTGTAACCCTCATTTTACAAGGAGTAAAGGAAGTTGGAGGAAGAGTGGCTCTTTCTTTTGGGCATTAGCCCTGCTGTGTAGACATGCCCTAAGGTGACTCCTCATTGTTTTTACATCTACCGTTCTGAGTCATTCTGAGTTAATTCTGAAAAAATTAAAATCAAACTACAGGATAATGGAAAAACAGGCACTCTAACTATTGACTTTTAAATTTGAAATATGCATTGGCATCTTTGTTAAAGTGGGCAAAATACAGCAATCTTTGAACATTTGGCTCTATTTCTGATTATGAAGTTGTGAATAGTTATTTAATCTTGAAGGTATCTTTTCTGAAACTTTAACTGAGGAAAAGCAATTCCATTTTTTAAACAGACTGTGCAAATTAATGTTGACTTTACAAAAAGCCAATATTTTTTAATTAATCAGAAATCAGGAAAGAGAGTAAGTATAACACAAATAACTCAGCAATGTCTTTAATTCCTGTTCACTCCTCTCATTCAGCCAGTAAAAAGGATGAAGTTTCTTTAAACACCTTATTTGCACAATGCATAAATATTTCCACCTGAGAAGGCAACAATTTTTTAAAAATGAACTTAAAATGAACATACCAGATAGTCTTTTAAATTAGGTTTTAAATTAGTTAAGTACTTCTAAATGCTTTCCCGCTAAACACCGTATTTCTTAGGATTTCTGAATGGTCACAAGACTCCAGTTAAGGCTTATATTCTGAGAACTTCTGCTGCAGGATGTACAATTATTCAATTGTTTGTGTTTTACCATTTTTACTTTGTTGTCCAACCTGAAAATTGTGATTTAAAAAAGGGAGTTCTGCAAAAAAAATGGGTAGTCGCTATAGCTCCATTAATGGATTTTAATCAGAAGACATGCTATTAAATGTTGGAATATTTTTATTTATGCATACATTTTGGCAAGGAGGGAAAGAAATCAGTTCAATTAGCTTTCCATGTATAGCCAGAATTATTTACTTGGTCGTGTTTAATGAAGGGATCATTTTTCCTATTCTTTTTTGATTATTAGCTCATTATTTCTGATTGTCCATAGTGTGACATACTAACACTTTTCTCTTTAGCAGCTTTCCCCCCAAAGCTCTCTGCAGACATTAGCTAACTCATCCTCACAACCCTCAGTGATAAGAAAGTGAAATGATTTTGATTTATATATCAGGCAATTGATGCATAAAGATTTCTTTAAGGCCAACATTTTCAAAAAATGGCCTATGATTGTGGGGGCCCAATTTGAAACATGCAGGTTTGATTTTCAGAGGGTCTGAACACTTGCAGTTGCATTAACTGAAACTGGAGTTGAGAGTGCTTATCACTTCTTAAGAAGAGTCTCAAGCTGGGCAACCAAATATTTTGGGCAACATGACTTGTCCAAAGCCACATGGTAAGGCTACTTCTACATTGTAGTCTTCTTCCGGAAAAACTTATGCTAATGAAGCTTGGAGTGGAATATCATCACACTTCATTTGCATAATTAATTAGCAGCCGTTTTTGTGCAAGAGGCTTTTGCGCAAAAAAGAGCTGTGTAGACGGCTCCTTTTTGCGCAAAAACCCCTTCTTCCACAAGAGCCATTCTGCCTGAAAAAAAGAGAAAGAACCTTTGCGCAAAAACTTCTTGCGCAAAAACAGTGCCTCATTTATTATACAAATGAGGCACAGTGATAGTCCATGCTTCGCCTTATTTGTATATTTTTTGCACAAGAGGGGACAGTGTAGACATAGCTTTAGTGTGCATCTGGTGATGCTGTATTTATCCTCGCCCTAATAATGAGCAGTTTTTAAAAGAAATGGTGGGTATTTTCCTGTATTTACAGTAGAATTTAGGATTTAGTAAAAAACCCATGATATATGATTGTCACATTTGAAGACATAAGCAGATCTGAAGGAAAGATTTTTATACCTCCGCACCTTCTCAGCAGCAGCATATATATGCTCAGAGTATTTTATAAAATGTCATATTCTGAATTGTGTTTTGCAAACAGAAGAACTGCAATATATTCAAGGGAAAAAATCTTCACTATTCAGTCAATTAATGTAAATGCTATGTTTTAATTAGCTTCATCAGGTGATCCTGAGAAAACTGTTTCTAGTTATATTAACAGAGAAAATTACAATATTTAAACAAACATACTGGAAATATTTTACCACAAATAAATATAAAATATTTTGCTTACAAAAATAGGACTCAGTGAGAAATCTGTTTCTTCAAATGACTTCTAGACCCTGCATTTAAAAAGATGCATTAAAACTTGTCCAATTAATTTGGCTTTATCTACAAGTCTAAATAACTGAACTGGAATACTGATATTTGTGTGCAAGAATTAATAGTTATTGACTTTTTATATGTCAACAAATTTTAAATAGTGCAGCAAGTGCAATATCATATATATATAAAAAAATCAGAGCTACAGTTTTTATATAAATTAAATGACTAAATAAAAGTGCTTATCAAGTATTTAAGTCCACTTACATTTGAAGTCACTGGTATAAATTAGTGCCAGATAATATCATTTAAATATCACTCATAACAAATATTTTATTGTAGATACTTTCACCTGACTAGATCGACTAGGAGGTTTTATTTGTTCATGATAAATATTTTAATGTTTCAAATACTTCATAAAATGTGTAGATTTTATGTTTCTTTCTGCAGTGCACTTTTAAAAAGATTTATAACTGAAGGCTTGTGTTCATTCTTTAACACCATGGGAGCTCTTAAATAACAGATTATCCACAGTCCACCTAAATCCCAGATGACATTTTAGTTAATTTTACTTCAATGGAAACAAAGATATCTAGTAATAATTAGGACCAATAGTACTGTAAGCTTCTGAAGCATTTAATCATTTTGCAGGTTTGGGCATTAAGGGTCTGTTTCAAAATCCACAGACGCCAACAGCAGTCTTCTCATTGATCCCAGTGGACTTTGAATCAGGCCCAAGATCATGCAAAAGAACAGCTAACACAAGTCACATTTGTATTCTGTATGAGGCTGACTAGTCAGACAAGGCACAGCATAGATTCTCTTTTCTGGTTAGTTAAGAAACATTGTTCCGCGAGAACATGGCACTTCTCCATCCTCTCTTAAAAAGACAGAGTCTATTTTGCAGCTTATTTTCCTCGACCAATTCTGGCGGAGCTTCTTTTTTTTTTTGACAAATTTTACCCTGGCAACCTAGGGTTTCCTTGAAATTCTATTATGCTGAAAAGGGTTCCATGGCCAAATAAAATTGGGAAACACTGATCTAGATAGAAAAGTATATTTAAAAATACACTGAGAATATTTTCCTATTAAACCTCATTTCTTATTGTGCTAGGGTTTCTTCTGAAATGATATCCACTTTGAACACTGAAAATCTGATGTCAAGTGTTGTAATTATAGCATGTAAATTGTCCTGCAATTAGAAAACAAAGCTGTGGTACTAAGTAGCATTCACTTGTTCCATGAAAAAGATGGCAAGGTATAGTTTGACCATAAACAGGCAGATTAGAAATGACACAATTCAAAAGTTGTACACAGTTCTGTAGCCACATTGATACCAGAATATTGGAGAGACCAGTGGATGAGATAATATATTTTTTATTGGACCAACTTCCATTAGTGACATAAGCTTTCAAGCTTACATAGCTCTCTTCTTCAGGTCTCACTGTGCAAGTTTGTCTCTCTCACTCAGAGAAGTTGGTCCAATAAAATATATTACATCACACACCTTGTTTTACAGTTCAGAAGATGAAGATCTGTAGGACTGCCGTTACAACAGCCTTCTCCACGAAAGTGCTTTACAAGTTGCTTAGAAAAAAAAATTAAAGTGCTGCACTAGCTCAACATAGTGCTACACTGGCATTTTAGAGCTCATTGTCCAGAAACAGTTTGGCTTTGGAAAAAAGCATTCTGAATCGATAGGCTATTTCTGTCTCTCAGTCTGGTCTCTTCATGCAGACCTGACAGCGGCTGATGATATTTTCCAGTTCCCCTGCTTTCAAACTCTGTGGTAAAGGCTCCCTAAAAGAAAGAGAACAACATATTTACTTTACTTCTAAAATAAAAGTAGTGGGAGTTCTATTTTTCACTTTTGTCCCTGCCTCTCTTATAGTTTAGCCAACCTCACCAGAGCATGTGTCACAGGGACTCCCTAAAGTAAGCTGCTTTTGAGACAAAGTGTGTGTGTGTTTATGGGGTGGCAGAGGAGTGCCACAATTCCATCATTGCTATTTAGACTGTTAGGGTCTAATTCAAAGACCAAATATTTTCATTGAGGTTTGGGTCCAGGCTTTAGATCTCCTGTTTTTAAAAATCTGTTCTAATGTCCTTAAGCAAAAAGAGAATGGCAGTATCAACACTGCAAGTGACAAGACTGGGACACAACCATTAGCTGCCTTGAAGTGTGTGTTAGGATAGAGTGAGCGTATTCTGACAGTGCGGCCCTCAAGAGCACAGTGATGTGTACAGCAACACTTTGTGGATTTGCCTAGGCTTGCCCTGAATGTGTACAAGATGACCACAAGGCATACAGTACAGACCAAGAAAAGATGGAGGAAATATAAAGGACACATTCTTGAAATATTTTATGGTTGTAGGAAGAAATATAAAAAGCTTTCTGGAATATATGAACCTGGAAAATACTCACTTTTTCCCCATATCAAAATTTAGCACAAAGGGGCCAAATTCTGCATTTATGTACACCTTGAAAATCCCACTGAAATGGCTGGGATTTGTACTGGGTGGAGATCAGTACATAATTAGGACCAAGTGCATTTTGCCTTACTTGCTTCTCTCCAGAAAATTCACCATTGACATAAGTAGGGGAAATGGCTGAAGATAATGTAATTGCACTTTCTTATATTAATGGTGAACATTTCCCAGTGCATTTAAAAGACTTGTTTTGGGAGGGCTGGAATTTAATGAAATTAAGGCTTTGATCCTGTGTTAGGCCACTTTGTGCTGTTCCAACACTGCAAAAGGACCTAACAGCCAACTTAGTTGCACTTGCAGGATGTTCAGAGAGTTTACACCCACCTTAATGGCCCCTACCCTACCCCTTGACCTGCATTAAAGAGCCTGATGTGGACAAGGACAAAGGGTCATAACCAGGTCACTGGGAAAGCAAAGTTCTACCTGAACATTCTTCTTGGATCTAGTGAAGCCAGCCAGAAGCTGTAGGAATTTGTGTAGTAGTTACATGTCCCTCTGCCATGACATTCTATGAATGGAATGGGACGGAATTCTTCCAAGCAGGATCCTGGTGATGCCAATGCTTGGCCAGAGGCCTCTGAGCCGGCACTTGTATACTGTAACAATAAAACCAACTTTAATGTACATCTGCTAAGCACCTTTTACTGAAATGAACACAAGAAATATCTTTCTAAAAATCACTGTATGAAGCACTGTTCTGGCAAAGTACCCTTGTGCAACAAGGCTAAAACAACAATCAGCACTGTTTAGTTTTATCAAAGGATGGATTATTTTATTTTTGGCTGGTTTCATTTTTCTAGTAATACAATTTACAGTCTTGTGATGAAGTCCAACACAGAAGCTTAAGACAATTGAAATTTGACTTTGTGACATTTTTCTTATTTCCGCAAATGTGTTTTTCTCTGTTCTGTGAGAGGTCATGAGAGCCAGCCACAGGACAAAGATAGAAATTCCCTAGATGAGGTTGAGCACCTGCTTAGTTAAGGACGATAGTAAGCTGATTTCAGATGAGCCATTTCTTCATTTTTTATCATCTGCTCATTTTTCCCCCTTGCACTGATTACTTCTCCATCGAAAGCAGACATAGAACTTTTCTGATCTGTAGTGAGAAACATGCTCATAGAAATGCCTGTATAATGAACCTTTACAATAGAATAAATACCGTGGTTGCAAACCCCTGTTGTAGCTGATGAAAATCTGCATGTTAAAATCAGCACCTAGAATCAATCAACCAACCAACCTTCCTTCCTTCCTTCCTTCCTTCACTTTACATCACTTACGCTATGTCTACACTACAAAGAAAAGTCTGAAAAATCTTTTTTTCCGCTTTTCTTCCGAAATAGGCTTTTCCAACATTTGGTCTGTCTACACGGGGCCAAATGTCAGAAAAAATCCCTCTTTCAGAACATCCCTTCTTCCTCGTAGAACGAGGTTTACGGGGATGCTGAAAAACTGCATCTGCTTTTCCAAAAATTTTTTCCGGAAAAGCAGATGCATTCCTTGGACACGGCAGAGCTTTTCTGGGATACTAAAAGCTCTGCAGTGTAGACATAGCCTTAGCGACAAATCCTGGGGAAGACAGCAAACCTCACTCCCCATGTGAAGGGGTGCTGCTCCACATGAAGAGGTTGTGGGCATTGGTCCCTGTAAGATTTTCCATCCCTTGGTCCTTTCCCCTTTCTTCTCTTGCCCTGGCCCCCTCCTTTCCCCTCAGAACAAGCCCTTTCCTCTCCTCACCCCCACCTTCCCCTTAGTTCTCCCCTGCCCCTTCCCTCACCTTCTGCCTTCCTAACACCTGTACCCCTCAATTCCCTCTAGCTTCCTGGTGCCAGGGTGGGTCAGCATGGCGGGCAGCTGCCCTGTGTGCTGGGGCTGGAGCTGGGATACTATATTTCAGTGGTCCCCAACCATTTGGAGCTGCCGGGCGCCAGGAGGCACGCGTGCGCCCGGGGGCGGGGCTGCGCATACACCACACCCCCATGAGCCACGTGCCTGGGACCAGCAACCCCATGCACTGTATGGCCATGGGTGGGGCTGCCCATTCACCACAAGCCTGGGGCTGGTGTCCCCCATAGCCGCGTGCCCAGAGCTGGCACCCCCCATAGCCATGTGCCCGGGGTGCGGGTGACCAATTCGCCGGGTGACCAATTCGCCGTGCGCCCGGGGCCGGCGCTCCCCATGCACCATATACCCGGGACTGGCGCCTCATATGCACAGCACACCTGGGGCCAACACCGCGCATGCGCCATGCACCCGGGGCGGGGCCAGCCCTAAGCACTTGGCAGATGAGGCACGCGTGCGCCCGGGGGCGGGGCTGCGCATACACCACACCCCCATGAGCCACGTGCCTGGGACCAGCAACCCCATGCACTGTATGGCCATGGGTGGGGCTGCCCATTCGCCACAAGCCTGGGGCTGGTGTCCCCCATAGCCGCGTGCCCAGAGCTGGCACCCCCCATAGCTGCGCACCTGGGGGCGGGGAGGCCACCCGGGGCGGGGACCCCCCATAGCCATGTGCCCGGGGTGCGGGTGACCAATTCGCCGGGTGACCAATTCGCCGTGCGCCCGGGGCCGGCGCTCCCCATGCACCATATACCCGGGACTGGCGCCTCATATGCACAGCACACCTGGGGCCAACACCGCGCATGCGCCATGCACCCGGGGCGGGGCCAGCCCTAAGCACTTGGCAGATGCCAACATTCCCCCCGCGGGCACCATGTTGGGGACCACTGCTATATTTAGTACCGTGGTCCTGGCCCCAGCAGCCTCCATGCAGCCCTGACCGCAGGTGCTCCCAGGGTGGGGCTGCATAGTGGGCAGCTGCCCCGTGTTCTGGGTCTGGAGCCGGGGCTGCAGTGCTATTTTTAGTACCCTGGCCCTGACCCAAGAGCAGCTGCACTGTGGACTGGCTCTGGTCCTGGCACACGAGGTGCTATTTTTAGCACCATGGCCCAGGCTCCAGCTCCAGCAGCCACTATGCAGCAGCCCACCTTGACGACAGCTCCAGCCCTGGGGAAGGGTTGAAGCTAGGGCTAGGGCTGTGTGGTGGCTGCCTAGCTGCTTCTGGGGCAGGGCAGCTGTCCACTGTACAGCCACGTCCCACAGCAGCTGAGCAGCCACTGCACAGACACAAATTGTTGGTGCTCACCCGCGCACCATATAGGGAACTATGATTGTGGGGCAGGAGGATGGAATTTTCAGTCTCAGTCAGTCATCCATAGCTGCTAATGTCGCATATGAGGAGGTAACCTGATAATTCCCCACCCTCCCATTTGGAAACACTAGAGGAGTCAGAGGATCTTCTCCAGATTTCACAAGTGGGATGTGCTCTCCCTTCTGATGACATTTATATTATTGCTGTCCAGCTCTTCAGTCAGCACACAATTTTTATCTGGATTATGGATTTTCAGTGGAGTTAGGCTCTACATTTGATTGACATTAACACTGCCTAGTGTTGTTAAGGCTAGAACTCTAGTTTCTAAACTGGTGTTGAATATGGTTAGCTCTAGGCTACACTTGCTCTGCAATGATATTCAGGAGCAATTCAGCTGCACTCATTGATGACACCTGCTTTCAACACAGAGTAGACAAGTTTATGAAAACACACAGCTCATTTACTTTTCATCTGTCCATAGTAACCAGAGTTCTTCTTTTGCTGCTTCCCCTTTTCTTTTGGGAGTTGGCACCTATTGCTGATCTAAGACTCTTTCTGTGCCTGGCTGTTCTGGAACTTCTGCCATAAGCATGAAAATCAAAAGGATTAATAAAATCCTTGCCTGTTTTTAGCCAAAAAAGAATATGATGGCTTTTTTAAAACAAATTTAAAATGCCATGGGCTAGTACCAGCAATACTGAGAGTACAGGAATGGGGAGAGTTCTCCCCAGGTTTACAAGAATGCATTAACTTTCCAACCTGCATTAGCAGCTACCAGTGAGTATTTTTTGTCTATTTGTCTCTGTCTTCCCTTACCATAATGAAGGAAAAACCCTTCCAGAGAGACATCCAGCCTTGAGGACATAAAGGAACTGCCGTTGTTTGGCTGTGAACTGCTATTGTCATTGCTGGCCCTTCACAAACAATACATCTGTAATATGAAACACATAAGTATTGGGTGAAAAATTCCAGACATTTATAGACTTTACTGATACAATTTCACATTTCATTACATGCACTGGTCTCAGTTTAGGAATTTGCACTCATAACAGTGTTTCCATGGAACTTAATAGGGAAATGGGTAAACTTGTAACCAGCTGTCAGGTTATCCAAAATACTTGACCTTGCCATTTCCAACCATATACACTGCACAGGAATTGGCAAGGAGATTAGCCCTAGAACACATGATAATCCAAATGCTACCATTACTGAAATGAAAGATTAAAACTTGCTTTCTTTATGCAAGGGTGGCAAACTTTTGGTCTGAGGGCCACCTCAGGATTCAGAAATTGTATGAAGGGGAGGGGAGGGAAGGCTTGGGGAAACTGTGCTTCCCCAGCCAGGCTTGGCTCGGCCCCTGCCTAGAGTTCTCAGCCTAAGTCTGTAATTTTCTTGCATTGATTCCAGTAATTACAATAACTATGATTCATTCCAGTATATGTTTATTACAGTTGAATTTACTTGAAGCAGAAAACACATTTCTAATATTGAAATTAAGTCTATTTCCTTTTAGTCTGTCTAAATCTAATATACCTCTACAGCAGAGATGAAGAACCTAAGCTTGGGGGGCAAATGCTGGATCAGGCCCCTGAGGCTCAGGGGTCCCCCTCACCTTTGGGGAGCCTGCGCTGGCACTCCAAGTCCACCCCCCACCTCCCTGTGGGGCTGTAACACACAAAATCTACTACCCTGGGCTTTTCCCCCTTTCCCCCAGGCTCTGTTGTGTGAGGGGAATGTGCGGAGTGTCTTTCTCGCTCTCAGTTGGAGGCCATGTCTATGATGGTTTGTTTGTTTTTTGCTTCTCATTTGCGTGTGCCCCCCAACTGATTTTTCTGTGGGTCAGTGGCCCCTGACCTGAAAAAGGCCCCGTCCCCCTGCTCTACAAAGTCCAAGCACATTTTTTTCATACTCAGTACAAACTTGTAACACAGGCCTCCTCACACACACATACCACAATTTGCAGTTTGAGCCAGGTACCCAGGGCCTCTAGTAAAGTGTACCTTCCCCGCTCCTACCCTATGTGGTGCCACCTGCACATGGAGCAGCTGATCATTATGTAACTATTATTTTTAAATATCAAGGTCAGTGAGACTTTGGATTGTATTCCTTGTGCCAATTACGTAAATTAAATATACCCCAGCTTTAACTAGGATACCCAAGTTTAACTTGGATACCCGAATGTTTGCAGTACTATTGTAGCCATGTTTGTTCCAGGATGTTAGAGAGACAAGGTGGGTATGATAATACGATGTATTGGACGAACTTCTGTTGGTGAGAGAGACAAGCTTTCAAGCTACACAGAGCTCTCCTTCAGGTGAGGGAAAGGTATTCGTGTCACAGCTAAATACAAGATTGTCTAGTATAATTAGTTAACAGACACTCTAAGGGACGATTCAATTTTTCAATTAATGCCCTCTGCAGTCATCATAGGACAAAACAGTGGGGTTAATGGGTTACAGATTGTTGTAATAAGCCATGACTTATTACAAACGGTTAGAAATTAAACCATATAGTTCACCATGTATTTAGTTGTGGTATCCTCAGTGCTGGTTAAACCTCTCTAGTCTGGCACCCGGGGGACCTGACTGATTCCAAATGAGAGAATTGTCCGGACCATGGGATGTCAGTATTATCTAGCAGCATTACCAATACTTCAACTGCTTACTGGGCCCTTAGAAGACAGTTAGGATTAAATTAGAACAAAATAACAGCACAGAACATTGAGAACTAGGACTGGTGGCTGTAAAAAAACTTTAAGGGGCCACGGGAAACTTGGCCATACACATGAAAAGTGACATCCAGCTAACTAAAATCATTCTGGACCATGGATGTTTTCAGAGAGTTCTGGACTAGAGAGGTTTAACTTGTACCCTTCCCAGACCTGAAGAAGAGCTCCATACAACTCGAAAGCTGGTCTCTGTCATCAACAGCAATTGGTTCAACAAAAGTTAGTATCCCACCCATCTTTTTAATAGAACATTTCAGTTTCAATATGAAGATCTTCTTGATATTTGCTCATTTAGGTTAGATCTAAATTATTCACTGCTTGGGACTTTGTTATCACATATCAAGCACATATTTAAATATAATCAAATATCGAGGTGGCTGAATTCAGAGCATGAATTGGCTGAGACAGACAGACTAACTGAAAAAAACCAAGATCATATTACAGAACTGTGAATGGAGGCTGGACTTCACTAAGATCAGTTTGAAATATCTGTACTAGAGTGGCCATACAAATGTCTCTGTCCACAAAGAGATATTTCAAGTCTGGTTAATAAGTTAATTACTGGCACAGTATATTTTAATATTTATGCACTCTTGAAAGCTTAACTCATCTGTACTTGACATTTTGCTGTTCAAAATAAATGCTATTATCAGTGTAGTTCAGAAGAGGGACTGAAGTTATAAAACTCATACCTGCTAATATAGGGCTGTAAGGCACTGCCAGAGATTGGGGCCATGTCTTCTGGCATTAGTGCTGCAGTTGATAGCCAGTATGAATAGCCATTGCGAGAAGCAAAACTGCAAACATCATTGGTATTACAGAATAAAAATGGCATCGTGGTAAATCGCTGTAGGCAGCTACCAATTGTCCCTGAAAGACACAGGATGGCAATCTTGTGAAAGCCATGACAAATATTTAGCATCAAAATGGAACAGCCATGTAATGCAATCCAATCTATAGCTCTAAGAATAAATATAGATAGTGCATGCAAAGAAAAGAGCCACTTCTCTGCACAGTAGTACTGAAAGTAAGAGTTTCTACTGACTACATTAAATACAAAGAGGCAACACTAAATGTACCATGGGGGCTAAGAACAAAATCTCCTGAAAGCAAGGAATTATTTCTTTTGATTAATTCTGCAATAATGTTGTCACCTCGTCCCTGAGCCTGAGAGATCAAGGGGTGCATAGAAGGAGCATGATCAGGTCTGGCCCACAACATTTTGCCACCTGAGGCAGGGAGCTCAAATGATGCCCCCATGTCCCATCTCTTGGGTCAAAACTTTGAAAGGTCTCAATTCTGTTTTCTTCCTGTTCTACTCCTCCTATGGTACTTCTCTGCTACCTACCCCAAAAAAGGAGAACTAACAACTTAAAATGCCTTGTTCAAAAAGAGTCAACTAGTGGCACCCCCCCACAGTCTGGCACCTGAGGCCAGTTTGCCTCATGGTAAGGCCAGTCCTGAGCATGGTGATGGTGGGAAGGAACTGGGCCTTTCCAAGCCATAATTCCTTCCCAGGGTTTCTCTGGGGATGGTACAGCTAATTGCTTCCACTAGATTGAGCTGGTTGTATAGGCATTATCTAGCCCCTAATATACAGTGGAAATTAGTTTCTCTGACCAATATTGTCATGTCAGGTAGACAATGAGATATTTACTGAACATTTGCCTTTCCCACCACCAGCAGTGGAGGGTTATTGCCATACTGAGTAATGTGGCTATGGGTTTCTAGAAAAGGGTTTGAAAATTCTTTCTAAAATGGTACCAAGATCTTGGCCATGTGCTTGCTCATTTCCTTGTACAGAGAGAAGAGAATAACCACTGTAGATCTCGGCTGTCCCAAATGGACATGAAGGAATCTTTGTTGACTGGCTGTGCCTTGCAAAAAGGAAGCCTCTTCTTGTTGGACCAGGAATGGAAATACCTGGGGAACCAGGTAGGCCCCGTACTCCTGGAAAGCCAATAAGTCCAGGAGAGCCTGTAAAAAAACCCAAAACATACATATTTTTATTCCATTACTCTTTAAACATGAGTCTCTGATTGCTTTCTGAAATTAATGCACCCCTCTGGAATCAAAATTGTATATAGTTCAACAACTGAAATATTGCTAGTATCTGCACTCCAGTGTCTAGAATCCCCAACAGACAATCCCTGTCCCAAAGAGCTTACATGCTAAATAGACAAGACAAACAAAAGCTAAGAAGGAAAACTGAGGTAAAATGACCTGTGGAAGATAACATGGCAGGTTAGTGGTAGAGTTAGGCATAGAATTTGGAGCTAGTCACTCCCACAAGAATGTCTGACCCACTAGAACACAAAGTCTCTCCTGTGTCAAGCTAGAACCTTACACACATCTCCATGAATCTTCCAACTTTTATAAGTCCTGACCTACCCTGAGCAATTTGCAGGGAAGTCGACAGAATTTCTGGCCCCCAGGTAAGGGGTGTGTGTGGGGGGAGGGGAGGTGCGGGGAGTACAGAATTCTTCCTTCAAGATGTATCCCCTAATGCACAGTGCTAAATAATATAAGATACATTAAGAAACATGACTTACTTGACAGGATAGTGGTAAATATAAACCATTTTATTGTGAATGACTTGAAACAAGCAATTCCAATTTGTTGTTTTATAACTGACTGTTTATTTACAAAGTAAGGAGCCTTGAAGGTTGGTGACAGACAGACAAACAAGCAAGCAAGCTAGCAAACAAACAAACAACATTTAAAAGATGTTAAACAGCATAACCAAGGGAGGGAAGATATGTTTTCAAATAAGATCTGAAAAAAGATGATTTTAGTGAGACTACTCATGTGTTTAAGGTTGAGCATGTTTGCAAGTGCTTTACTAAATCTGGGCCTGGCTGACAATATCATAATGTGTCTTCTATCTGAATGGAAGGATCCCCCAAAATTAGAGCCCAACTTTATCTTCAGCTTCAGTATGATGGAACACAAAGAGCTCTGTCGCCTTTACTGTACCTCTTTGTCCTTGAAATCCTTTGTCTCCTTTTGGACCAATTGGTCCAGGTATTCCTGGATTTCCACAATAGCCTGGTAGACCTTTTATACCTAGAGGCCCTGTGTTGTTTAAATAAGAATGTGTGTTAATATCAGAGATGAAAATAAGCCAGTGCAGCCCACTGTAGCACTCTGGCAAGAAGCCAGCCAGCTGTCTGGGGCATTCAGCTACAGCGGGAGGGCCAGGAAAGAGAGAGGGGCTGGTTGGAGTCACCCCCAGGCCCTGCCCCAGCCATGAGCACCCTCGCCTCCACTGCCACCATTTTGACAGGGTGAGGGACTGCAGCCGCACATACTGAGTCCCTATTGCTTTTTCCCTGATTCCTGTGACTAGGGAGTGAGGGGAAAGTGCAGCACCTGATGCATTCCTGGGCACTACCCCTACACGCTCCCCACATCCTAAACCTTTGCCCTGAACCCCTCCTCTTTCCCCCAACCCTGACTCCTGCGCCCCCACATATCCAGCCCCCTGCACTAATTCCTGCACCCCCACACCCTAACCCCAGCCCTGAACTCCCCACACTCCACCCCAAACTTAAATTTTTTACAGGTACTGTTGTATCGCAACCCCAACTCTGCCCTAAGGTTCCCCCGCAAGGGGCAGGTTGCAATAGTACTGTATCTGTAAGAACTTTAAGTTACTTTCACCCCCGATTAATATAACAGTAATTGTTCTATATATTCACCATTAACAATTACAATAAACAAACAAAAACAATCAGCCAGACAAACAACACCAGAGTGTAGCTTCATAATAGCAGATAATGTGGCATAATTTTTTTAGAATCAGAATTCTATGATGTTGCTGTCCCCAGATTTCACATCAAATAAATTAGGATGATATAAAAACAGTGGCTATATTATAGAACGTTTTAATTTTCACAAGGGACTTTTACAAAACTAAAGCTAATATTAATAGAGCAAATGCTGAAAAAGGTATATTAAAATTATGCAAACATACAATAGCAATAGTATGAGTTGCTGCACTTAGAGCCACAGATAATGTAGATAGATTCTAATATACAATACATTTTCTTGTAATATACAAAAAGGTGCTGGTTCAAGATTCTCAATAGTTCTAACTGGCCTTATGTGCTTCTACTAGGAACACCCACTTCTCCCACACACCTGATCTACTTCAAGCTGTCAATATGACACTAAAATACAGTAGAAAAGGAAAGCTATTTGAAGAGAGAAATGTGTCCATGTGGAAATTCAGAGTCCCAGCCAACCATCAGCATGTCTCATGAAGTAGTCTGGGCAAACATATTTGATGGTAAACCATACCATGTAACCCTGGTGGCCCTTGAGGTCCTAGATGTCCTGGTGGTCCTGGTCTTCCTGGTGGTCCTGCAGGTCCTTGGTTTCCTGGGACACATGTTACTTTCCCAGGTGATCCAGGATGACCTAAAAGTGGAAATACAACAAAGAGCTGGATGCTTTATATTAACCTCCCAGTGGGCTAGAAAGAGAAGAACTGGAATAATGATTACCAGGGGGGCCCTTTGGTCCGATTGGTCCTGCTGCACCCATTGGTCCAGGGGGTCCTCGATTACCCTTTTCTCCTAAAAAGGAAGATTAGACATATACCTGATTGTAGAAGCCAAAAGAACGGTCCGTGGTTCCAGACATTCATTAAAGAATCTGCCAAGTACATGATCTCACGGAGCCTTAACAACATACTACAGTGACTAATTACTTGGTAAAAATGGCAACATAGGAGTTTATGATTACTGGTGCTCAATTGTGTATATTTACAAGAATACAGATTTTTATTTTTAACTGCCAGTCTCACAAACTCAGCCCAGACTCTCTCACTCAAGCCGGGTTCTTTCCATTTTATGTAGTACCATAATCTGGCCTGCTGGTCAAATGACGGGATCAGTGACAGCTGTGCAACACCACCACCTTCAAATTCTGCCTTCAGGGACAGTGACTGACTATAGTGGGATTGCCAAAGTTGTAAATGTTGGAAATTCAGTGAATGATTATTCTGCAGCTGCCAAATATGGGATGGAATCCTGGTAATTTCCTGGTAATTTGTCCATGATTGTGTTGGCAATAAAATGTGTTATCCTGTAGCATCCAGAAGCCCCAATGAGGATCAAGATCCCATTGTATGAAGTGCTGTACACACATAAAAAACAGTCCCAAAGAATTCGGGTTGTGGCAAACCTAAAAATCTATCCCCACCTCTAAACCTCATAAAATGTGCAAAATCAATCAGCTATGGGTAGAGTGTATCCCAAAGAATCATTTGGCAAACCTTTCCCCAAATCCTTAGACTGGCTTTGTGCATGAGTGATGGGTCATAGTGGGATATGAATAGGATACTCTTGTTGCTAGCTAGAAACCAGGGTCAGAAGATCTGGTAAACCAGAGGAGCCACCTCGTTTTGTACTAAGTTGCCTGGAGGGAATGCAGATGTTTTTTATCTAGTTATTTTCATATTGGGCTAAACCAGAATTCCCTCAACCCAGAGAGGATGCCTTGTCATCAAAACTTAATTTCTGATGATTTTTCTCTGTTACTGTGTCACCCCTTAAGCCTTCTGCAGCTATATTTACTAAGAAGGTTTCATGTCTCCAGTTATACACCTGGTACTGTGCTGTAACACAATTTGCAAATGATTGCACTTTGTCCACAAAAAGTATGTTCATTAAATAGGTGAATACCTGTTACTCCCTGAAATCCTGGAAAGCCAGTTTCACCTCTAGGACCAATGTTTCCTGGGGTGCCATCAACTCCCTGCAAGTCAAACAAGAACAAAGAATCAGAGCAGTATTCACATGCTGCAAGATATGCTAACTAGGTTTTCACCTAGAATTTAACATTACCTGACTATGCTAGTTTTCAGGCAACCAGAATGACACAAAACATGTCAATTAATTTCTACAACTCAACTAAAAATCAAGAGAGAAGATCCAATGGAGAAATATCTGAGCCACTAAAACTCTTAATTTCTTTTTTTACATCACAACTTTTTTCTCTGAATGCAATTTTCCCTAAAACTGTGAAATTAAAAAGTGTGTGAGAAAGGAGGAGTATTAATTTCACTTACCGTTGAACCTCGGGCACCAATATTGCCAACCAATCCCGGTGGTCCTGGTATGCCATCTACACCTCTAACACCTTTGTTCCCTTTTATGCTGTAGACAGGGGTTCCATAAGATCCTGGACTACCAGGATTACCTAACATTGAAAAATAAAAGCTCAATCAGTAAAAGCAATCAGTAGGCATATTTCATGGCTGCATTGTTTACTGCACATCTTTGCTATGAAAAGTGACTCTTCAGAAGTGACATCACGGGGCTCCATGTTCATTGTCCCTCAATGATTCAAAAGCAAGAAGTATAAACATGTAATTTTTCCAACAGCCATCCCTGTGCATTTAACCTGGGTTATTTCCATCCTGCATCTATCACCAGTTTTCAAAGGTCTTCAGATCAGATTAGGTCTTCAGGGACACTAGGGCTACCTCGTTGCCTATAAGTAGGTGGTAGGTAATACTTGTGCAAACCCAGTGGCCCAGCCGTGATGCAGGATCCCAAGGGAAACGTGTTTATGTAGGACCGTGAGAAAGGACTGGGATGTTAGCAGATGACGTGGTTCATGCATCAAGATCCATTATGTTATTTTGATTTTATGTTTCACTGTGTAAATATATGTAGTTTTTGCCATAGAAAACATAAACCAACAGACAAACAATTTTCTGTTTAATCATAAAGTGCAGGTTCACACAGGTCCCTTTCACCTGTGATTCTAGATTTGCCAAACCATCTCCACCCGTTACTAAAACTTTTTTTCACATCAGTAAGAAATAAGAGTAACACACCTCGCTTTCCAGCCACTCCGGCAAGACCTCTATTTCCTTTCTGGCCAGGAATCATTATGCCCGGCGTACCTGGGAATCCTGGCTTTCCATTCAATCCAGGAGGTCCAATTGGTCCTGGATCCCCCATTAGACCTTTAATACCTTCTGGTCCTGGACAACCAGGAATCCCCATATCACCTTTGATTCCTGTGAAACATAACAATTTGCATAAGTTCTGAGATAATTTTCAGGGGAGCAACCATTACTTTTAAAATCCCAACAACCAAGAATGAACACATTATACTTTGAAAATGAGACTGGTGCCAGGGTTGGAAATTGAGTAAATGTCAAGTGTCTGTCTGTTATAAGATCCAAATTGTTGTTGTAAAGCAATGCAACTCAGGACAGGAAACACTCATTATGGGATGGGGAACACACTGATGATCCTCTGAGACTAAACTGGAAACCTTAGCTGTGCAAATGAATAATTTTGATAAAGGAGTGGAGAGATGTGAGGAATGGAAGAAAGAATAAGGGATTTTAGCATTGCCATGATAAAAAATGCTATAGTTTTGCAGATAGAACTGGCAAATCCTATTAAACCAAGCCACACTGACCAATATCAGGATCCCAACTGACTTATTTTATTCATAGTGCACAGTATGTTAGAAAATATCCTGATAATCAAATTGCACTAAAAACAAATTAGAGACACCTGTGCTTGACCACAACTTTATAAAAGCAGAAAATATAGCCTTAATTTCTCTGTGTTATATAGACTTAACTGTACAAGACAGACATCTTGAAATCTAACAAATAGGGTTAGATCAATAGTTTTAATCACAAAACCACTCTCCCTCTTTTTAAAGAGCCTACATGACAATTTAAGCATCCAAGTGCATAATTTTGCTTAATAAAAGGCCCCCCCCCCAAGCTGTTTAAACTCATGGTATCTGTAAAGAAAACTCACCTTTAGGACCAGAAATACCTTGTGGACCTGGAATCTGCCATCCTGGTGCACCTGCAAAATATTTTACATGCAACTCAAAAGTCCTTAAGCACTGGTCAAAGACACATGTTATATTTGTCTAACATTTCACACATTTAAAAACAATGAGTAGTCCTGTGGCACCTTAGAGACTAACAAAAATATATATGGTATCATGAGCTTTCGTGTGTAATTTGTTCAACATATACTGGATCAAACAGCACATTAATTGTATGAAAAATCGTTAATAGTTTGGATTTGTGCTATGCTGCTACTTGGAAATACAAACGAGTTACCATCCCTGTTTGTCCAGGAGGCATATTTTGCAGTCGTATTTCAGGAACATCCTACCAATGCTACAGCTTGTCTATTTTCACACATCCATACTCACACAAAACCAAACTGAAGAAAAAAGAGAAAAAAAGGGGGAAAACACTGCATTTGTTTTAAACAAGCAACTAAAAATGAGAAAAGAAAAGCATATGAAAAATAAAAATAACGTGACAGTAAAGGTCGAACCTCTCTAGTCCAATACCCTCCGAACTTGACTGGTGCCAAACCGGATAATGTGTCAAACCATGAGAGATCAATATTTTCTAGCACTTGGTATCCAACTAGTTCTGAAGCAGTAGCCATTATAGTATAAGGCAATACCCTTAACTTGGTAAAAGTGGGCACTATGTTATGATCATGGTAAATCAAAAATGTCATAAAAGCCATGTATATACACTCTATTTTGATGCCCTATGCAAAATTAATCCAGAAAGTTTGTGAAGAATAAAAGAAACATTTTAGTTACCAATACAATTTGTACTTCAGGCATGCTTTTTTATACCACAAGATTGACAAGGATTGTTAACAGGAAAGGACAAGAGTTTAAAATAACAGGAAAATATTATACTGCAGTACCTCGTTCTCCCTTTTCCCCTAGGGAGCCAGGAATACCATCCCGTCCTTGATTCCCCCTTTCTCCAGCAGATCCATTGGCTCCAGGGGATCCCATTGCACCTGGGAATTATAAACTGTCATTTTCATTTTTACATATCTATTAAAATGCAAAATGACAAGGAACTGATGCTCATTTACTGGAGTGTTATTAACAGCGGTGCATTAAAAATCACAATTGTACTAGTGTACAAATATTTGTAAAGTGTAGCCTCCTACTCTCACTGAACTCACTGGAAAAGCTCCCATGGACTTGAATAGACCCATCTTATGCTTACAGGCTACTTTTTTCTTTCAAAGAAATTGCAGGATAAGGAGACCCCATTTGGGCCTCAGAATCTCCATGCCTAGATCCTATGGCAGATTTAAGGCTTACTGAGTGAGGATGAGAGCCTGACATTTCTTATACTGGTATAAATCTACAGCAACTCCAAGGAAGTCAAGAGCACTACATAGATTTACCATGGTGTAAGTGAGACTAGAATCTGGCCATGACAATACTCAATGCAGGCTGGACCTCCCTAGTCCAGCACCCTCAGGACCTGAACTGTCCTGAACCAGGGAGTTTCCTGGACCAGGAGGTCAGTGTCCTCCCGAGCTTCTCTCCCTAACGCTGGCCTACTATGGGCTCCCCATCCTGTTGTTGGCCTGCTGCCCCAAGAAACTGCAGGGTTCCAGCTGCTACCGCCTGGTGGCCCCACTGCCACTGGGGATTCCCTGGAGTTTGCTGGCCGGGGCCCCCAGCCTCCACCAGCCCTGCGTCAGCTGGGGCTGGTTTGCTGGCCGGAGCTGCCAGTCACCCTGGCCCTACTGCCAAAACAGCCCTGCTCGAGCCGAGACTCCCCTACTGCCTGGCCCAGTTGATGTTGGGTTTCCCCAGTGTGTGTGTGGGAGCTCCATGGCTGGTGCCCAGCCCTGTTGGTGCCAGGGGCTCTCTCAGCTGGCTACCCTTGCCCCTGGAGCTCTTTTGTCCAGCAACATCTGTGGGCCACAGATGTGCCGGACCAGAGAGTCACAGATATGGGAGGTTCAACCTGTATTAATTTTATTCATTATGACTATTTCCCCCTATATTTTCACTTCAGTAAAATGTATAATAGATACATACATCTCCCTTTATGTAAAAACAGTGAGGAATCCTGTGGCACCTTAGAGACTAACAGATTTATTCCTCATTGTTTTTTGCAGATACAGACTAACACAGCTATCCCTCTCAGATATCTCTCTATATGTATATTTTAAAGTATTCTTATCTTTGTTCCTCTAACAATGGACTGTCCCACTCTGTCTCTCTCTTCTCTGATTGCTTTTTATCTATTTCGGCTAGGTCTTTGGTCATAGGTGTCATTTATGGTGAGCTGGGGGAAGAGGGGCATTATCCCGCCCCTCAAATTTGAACCCCTGGATTTCATACTGGAGGTCTGCTTAAAGGTGCATGCTCTGGCTCCAAAGGCAGCTCTTAACTGCCACAGAGTTGGAGCTTCTTGCAGCTTTGCCTTTGGGGCAGGGAGTTTGTTATAAAAAGAGGGAGGCAGGTGATAAAGACTAACAAAAGATTGGTCATTCAAGTAATTAAGGGATCATTAGATCATCATGAAAACATTGCCATGTCCTTAAAAGATGAAGGGGTGGGTAGCAATGAATACTGTGCTGCTGGGATTTGAACCAGTACTGTTAAACTTTTAAATGTTATTGAAAAAGAGGTAAATAATGAGATGGCAAAATTTGCAGCTACTACAAACTTACTCAAAATAGTAAAGTCCAAAGCTGTCTGCAAAAAGTTACAAAGGGATCTCACAAAACTGAGTGACTGGGCAACATAAAAGCAGATGGAATTCAGTGTTGAGAAATGCAAAATAATGCACGTGGAAAAATATAATCCCAACTATCCACACAGAAATGATGGGATCTAAAATAGCTGTTACCACTCAAAAAAGAGACCTTAGAGATCATTGTGGATAGTTCCCTGAAAAAATCTGCTCAATGTTCAGGGGCAGTCTACAAACTAAAAATACCTAACAGAATATCAGTAGGAAAGGAATAAATAAAAAGACAGAAAATATCAGATTGCCTCTATATAAAGCGATGGTATGCCCACATATTGAATACTGGATGCAGATTTGGTCACTCCATCTAAAAAAAAGCATATTGGATTTGGAAAAGGTACAGAAAGGGCAACAGAAATGATTAGGGGTAAGGGACAGCTTCCATATGAGGAAAGATTAACAAGACTGAGACTTTTCAGCTTGGAAAAGAAATGACTAAAGGGTTGGGGGATATGTTAGAGGTCTAGTAAATCATGAATAGTGTGGAAAAATAAAATAAGGAAACGTTATTCACTTCTTCAGAAATATAACACAATAATTAAATTTATAGGCAGCAGATTTAAAACAAATTATTTCTTCACACTCAACCTGTGGAACAGAGTTCCAATAAGAACAAAATAAATTCAAGGAGGATAGGTCCATCAATGACTTCTAGCCAGGATGGTCAGGGATGGTGTCCCTAGCTTCTGTTTGTCAGAAGCTGAGAATGGGTGACGGGGGATGGATCATCTGATGAATGCTTCTTCTGTTGATGCCTTCTGAAGCACCTTACATTGATCACTGTCGGAAGCCAGGATACTGGGCTAGATGCACCATTGGTCTGACCCAGTATGGCCATTCTGATTTTATACAGAGTGCATATGTATTTTCCCTCTCCTGTAACCCACTAGACCCCACTCCACTCCTGAGTGAGATAGAGCCGAGATAGATCCCAAGAGTCTTGACAGAGTCAGTCAGTCAGTCTCTCTCATGCTCGCTCTCTCCTTCAGTTAGTAAGAAAGTAAGATTACATGTTAAAATTTTAAGATTAACCAGTTTCCCTTAAGTGACTTGCCACAAGATGTCAGAATGTTAACATTAGAGCTGAGTGGGTCTAAATTTTCTTTCTTTTATACAGGAATTAGAAACAGGGCTCCTATCAGCTAATTGCTAAGTTGTCTGCCAAAACAGTAGTTTTCCAGTTCCTCAGTAGCCCCCTAGAAAGAGGTGATATGTGTGGGTGGGGAGGGTGAATGGAATTCCCATCCTGCCCCATTGGTTGGCTTGTACTGAGCATGCCCAGTAACACTGAGGAAGCCGCTGTCTTCATCTGCCCCACCATGCTCTCACTCTCTTCCCCTTCACTCCCATCAGGGAATGCACTGGTTGCCCTCCCCCCACCAAATGTGAAATGCCCCGACATTGGTTTATTCATTCACTGTGGGTATCACAATGATCTTTAGTGCTATCTTTAATGTCCTGATCTTTTAAAATCTCTCGCTGGGATTAAACTATACCTGTAGCTGTATAATGGAAATGTTAAAGAACCTTAGAAACTAAGCTCAAATATATATATAGTCATGTGCAAAAACTGCAAAGCAATTGAAAATCTCAACTGTCAAGTGCTAACAGAGGAAACAAACAAGAATGCAGAGATCTGGGAAAGAAATGAGAGAGTGAGGACAAAAATCCAACCTGGAAGGCCTCTTGTGCCTTTCCATCCTGGCACCCCTTTGCGTCCTTTAGCACCAGGATCTCCAGCACATTCAGATGGTCCTGTGAATAGGGGAGGAGTGATGGAGAAAAATAAGAAAAAACTGCATCACCCTGAATTCAGGTCAATACTGGGTCCAGAGGTTTGCTAGAGCTACTATTATTTTACTTGGACCAGAGTCTCAGCTTATGTAAATTAGCATGGCTCCCATAATTTCAATTTGCCAACTCCAATCAGCTGAGGAACTGGTCTAATTATTTCTGTTGGGAGATTTGGAAATCCCCTTTTGCAAAAAGCTTGTAAAATCTCACCATTTCCCTAAACCAAAACTCACCTGGAATTCCTGGTTCTCCACAATCCCCTCTATTTCCAGGTAGTCCAGGTTCCCCAACACGTCCTGGCTGACCTGGTGACCCTCTCTCTCCTTTTCTTCCCATTTCTCCTGGGGGGCCTGGATCACCCTATGAAGCAGCGGTCAAGAACATTTTTGGATAAGAGTTTCGTTAAGTTAAAATGCATACTGAATCAGTAGCATTTTTAAAAAATCACATCTATTACAGCTAATGTGAATATAATCATGGCTATTTGTTGAGAAATGACCTACAAAAAGAAGATACCAAGTATGTGAAATGTCTGCTCCTAAAATTTGATAATGCGCCACTGACAGTTTCAAAGAGAGATCTTAATTTCTAAAATACTGTCCAATGTATATTTTAAATATCTTACAAAGTAGTTCCCTGAATCTCTGGCTTCTATTTTCCCCCAACACTCAGTATTAACATCACATACATTTACACAGCTCCTGGATATAAAATGGCCACCCTGTTTGTTTAAGTCTTTCATTAATATACAGATGTACATAAATGTCCAGATTTTTTTTTAAATGTCCACCTTCCTTTGAATCCTCTGATTTAGGCCACTGTCAAAAACAAGGCTCTGATGTAGATGGGTAATTGGTCTGACCCAATATAACCAATATGTTATTTTACATAGATCCAAGATGATAAGTAATGGTGCTTAGATAGCACAGGTCTGGGCATGGTATGAGAATCTAGACACATAGATTAGATGGATTGCCTAGGGGGTAATATAACATACAATCTGATCCACATATTTCAAAATATCTCATGTAAAATAGATTACAGTTAATCTGCACTTGAAAAAGTGAGTGTTTAGATGCTCCTGGAGCGTGTGACACTGAATTACAGTTATGTGGCCTAACTTTTCAAGAGAAAGTTCAACTGTTTAAAAAGTAACAATACACGTTGCATCATGACATTACTACTCTGTCAAAAACTGGTAGAACAACTTCAAAACTCTTATTTTCTTTACATGTGATAAATGGATTTTTCCTGTACAGCTCAATAATATTCTATTTTAAGTGCTAGTTCTTATTCTCAAAAGAGCTAGTTTCATAATAAAAATATGAAAATTATTTCAAGAAGTTCCACCTTTACAAATATGAAACTCCTAGACACAGGGGAAATAAAAAACTTGTAGATTTATCCTAAAATGTAGCTGTAATAGGATTTCAATATTTTTCATCAACAGCAGATTATTTCCCTGCAGCATTGACTGGATTAGACTGCTCCTTAATAGTTTTCTGCCCTTGGTTATACTGCATTCAAGTGTGCTGTCTATTGAGTCATTACCACAGATTATCTATTGTCTTCATGCTGTACCTTTGGTCCTGGGTTTCCTGAAGGCCCAGATGCTGAATTAGCTGGTTCTCCTTTATCACCTGGAGAACCAATAAGGCCAGGAGGGCCTTGTGCACCGGATGGGCCGGGCAAACCTTGAGATCCTCTCTCCCCTTTAGAACCTGAAGTGATGCAAATATAGGTCTCACTCTCAAAAGCATAACACTTACATATCATACTAGATACTTTCTATGCTTTATGGACTATCTTTTTAGTTACCAACTCTTCAGTAATGAAAAACAAAATAACTGGGGGTATGTCTACACTACAAAGTTAATTCGAACTAACGGATGTTAGTTCGAATTAACTTTGATAGGCGCTACACTAGCGCTCCGCTAGTTCGAATTAAGTTCGAACTAGCGGAGCGCTAGTGTAGCGCCTATCAAAGTTAACTCAAACTAACATCCGTTAGTTCGAATTAACTTTGATAGGCGCTACACTAGCGCTCCGCTAGTTCGAATTAAGTTCGAACTAGCGGAGCGCTAGTGTAGCGCCTATCAAAGTTAACTCAAACTAACATCCGTTAGTTCGAATTAACTTTGATAGGCGCTACACTAGCGCTCCGCTAGTTCGAATTAAGTTCGAACTAGCGGAGCGCTAGTGTAGCGCCTATCAAAGTTAACTCAAACTAACATCCGTTAGTTCGAATTAACTTTGATAGGCGCTACACTAGCGCTCCGCTAGTTCGAATTAAGTTCGAACTAGCGGAGCGCTAGTGTAGCGCCTATCAAAGTTAACTCAAACTAACATCCGTTAGTTCGAATTAACTTTGATAGGCGCTACACTAGCGCTCCGCTAGTTCGAATTAAGTTCGAACTAGCGGAGCGCTAGTGTAGCGCCTATCAAAGTTAACTCAAACTAACATCCGTTAGTTCGAATTAACTTTGATAGGCGCTACACTAGCGCTCCGCTAGTTCGAATTAAGTTCGAACTAGCGGAGCGCTAGTGTAGCGCCTATCAAAGTTAACTCAAACTAACATCCGTTAGTTCGAATTAACTTTGATAGGCGCTACACTAGCGCTCCGCTAGTTCGAATTAAGTTCGAACTAGCGGAGCGCTAGTGTAGCGCCTATCAAAGTTAACTCAAACTAACATCCGTTAGTTCGAATTAACTTTGATAGGCGCTACACTAGCGCTCCGCTAGTTCGAATTAAGTTCGAACTAGCGGAGCGCTAGTGTAGCGCCTATCAAAGTTAACTCAAACTAACATCCGTTAGTTCGAATTAACTTTGATAGGCGCTACACTAGCGCTCCGCTAGTTCGAATTAAGTTCGAACTAGCGGAGCGCTAGTGTAGCGCCTATCAAAGTTAACTCAAACTAACATCCGTTAGTTCGAATTAACTTTGATAGGCGCTACACTAGCGCTCCGCTAGTTCGAATTAAGTTCGAACTAGCGGAGCGCTAGTGTAGCGCCTATCAAAGTTAACTCAAACTAACATCCGTTAGTTCGAATTAACTTTGATAGGCGCTACACTAGCGCTCCGCTAGTTCGAATTAAGTTCGAACTAGCGGAGCGCTAGTGTAGCGCCTATCAAAGTTAACTCAAACTAACATCCGTTAGTTCGAATTAACTTTGATAGGCGCTACACTAGCGCTCCGCTAGTTCGAATTAAGTTCGAACTAGCGGAGCGCTAGTGTAGCGCCTATCAAAGTTAACTCAAACTAACATCCGTTAGTTCGAATTAACTTTGATAGGCGCTACACTAGCGCTCCGCTAGTTCGAATTAAGTTCGAACTAGCGGAGCGCTAGTGTAGCGCCTATCAAAGTTAACTCAAACTAACATCCGTTAGTTCGAATTAACTTTGATAGGCGCTACACTAGCGCTCCGCTAGTTCGAATTAAGTTCGAACTAGCGGAGCGCTAGTGTAGCGCCTATCAAAGTTAACTCAAACTAACATCCGTTAGTTCGAATTAACTTTGATAGGCGCTACACTAGCGCTCCGCTAGTTCGAATTAAGTTCGAACTAGCGGAGCGCTAGTGTAGCGCCTATCAAAGTTAACTCAAACTAACATCCGTTAGTTCGAATTAACTTTGTAGTGTAGACATACCCTGATAGTGCAATTTATTTTCTTACATATATTAAAAGAAAAGGTTGCCATTACAAGTAGTAAAGTACAACACAGTTCAGGTAGTATAGGTTATGAGTTACATAAGATACATTGCTTGTGATTAAAGATAATAAATGCAGTCTTAAGAGGTTCAGTCTTTAACTTTAGCAACTTCAGAGATTTTTGAATGAATTTAGAAGTTTGGGGAAAATATCCTTGAAATAACTCTTGGGCAGGGTCTACACTGAAGGGGAAGCTCAAATTAAAATATGCAATTCCAGTGATATTAATTACATAGCTGGAAGTCGATGTACTTTGATTTGAGTTTCTCCACCATCCCCAAAGCAGGAGGCCAATGGGAGCAAATGCTCCTATCAGCCTCCCTTACTCCTCACAGGAACAAGAGTACCAGTCACCAACTGGGGTGCCCTCTGAGTTCGATTTAGTGGATCCACTAAATCAAACTCTGGAAGATCAATCATGGCAGCGTCGATCTTCTCCGGCATGAAGACATGGCCTTGGATGAATTTTCCAGCATCAGATATAAAAACTTTGGAATAATCCCAGAAGAGTTTTCCTATATCATGGCTTCCTATATCAAGTTGTTAAGCACCTCTGCCATTTCCAAGTTTCCTATTATTGTTTCTCCCTCTTCACTGAGACCTATCCTTGGTCTTTCTCTTGCTTCTAATATATTTGTAGAATGTCTTCTTGTTACCCTTTATGTCTCTAGCTGGACTAAGTTTGTTTTGAGTTTTTCTCTTTCTAATCTTGCTCCTGCATTCTTTGTTTGCTTATATTCATCCTTTGTAATTTGATTTAGTTTTCACTTTTTAAATGACTCCTTTTTTATTTTTAGATCATGTAAGATCAGTAGGTTTAGCCAAGGTGGTCTCTTACCATACTTTTTTCTTTCCTACGCAGTGGTATAGTTTGCTTTTGGGCCCTTAATAATATTCCTTTGAAAAACTCCCAACTGTCTTCAGTTGTTTTTTCTCTTAGTCTTGCTTTCCATGGGACCTTACCTACCAGCTCTCTGAGTTTACTAAAATCTGCCTTCCTGAAATCCACTGTTTCTATTTTGCTGTTCTCCCTTCTACCTTTCCTTAGAATCATGAACTCTATGATTTCATGATCACTTTCACCCAAGCTGCCTTCTACTTTCAAATTTTCAACCAGTTCTTCCCTATTTGTTAAAATCAAATCTACAACAGCTTCCCCCTCAGTAGTTTTCTCAACCTTCTGAAATAAAAAATTGTCTTCAATGAAGTCCTAGGACTTATTGGATAATCTCTGTCCTGCACTGTTACTATCCCAACATATGCTTGGATAATATACACGGTCAATCAGCAAGTCTCATTCTTAAATTGTATAATTTATACCTCCAGTTAATTGCAGGCACAACATTTGAAGCTAAAATGAGGCCGACTTAAAAATAGTAATACATTTAGCCCAAAGCGTAAAACAAATTGTCTTCTATTATCTTATATAAATTGATATTATATCACATATTGTGTGACTTGACAAAAATGCATATTAATATTAAACAACTATATTTTAACAATTAAATTTAAGTTTTTAGCCTCATCTTTTGGACCATCCTGACTTCTGAGGGTATGTCTACACTACCCCGCTAGTTCGAACTAGCGGGGTAATGTAGGCATACCGCACTTGCAAATGAAGCCCGGGATTTGAATTTCCCGGGCTTCATTTGCATAAGCGGGGAGCCGCCATTTTTAAAACCCCGCTGGTTCGAACCCCATGCAGCGCGGCTACACGGGGCTCGAACTAGGTAGTTCGAACTAGGATTCCTATTCCGAACTACCGGTACACCTC